TATATATAAAGACATTCCCTTTTCTTTTGTTCTTAATTTACAAGAAAAAAGAAAATACATATCAATGCCATCAAGCTCGCAAGACATATACTCCAGCAAAAGAAAAAAAAAACCAAAAAAAAAAAAAAACAAAAAAAACAAAAAACAAAAAGCTCGCAAGACATATACGTAATTGGTGCCATTTTTTTTAATAGGTGCAATTATTTTTGTGATATTTACAATGTTTTTTATTTTTGTGATACTTACTATGTCGTTGCATAGTTAAACTACCCTTTCAAAAAAAAAAAAAAAGAAGTTAAACACAAATTCATTATTGTTTGTTTGTCGTACGATGTTATTGATGTAAAGCACTATATCCAACAAAGTATTGCTTGAATATTACATGCAGGTACGACAGACTCACAAACCGTACAATAACAGTTCACAACACCAAATACACCCCATTGGAATGGACATCAATCTCCTGGGGCATAGGCCTAATTGTGGCAGCCCCCACCCTCGGCCTCCTCTCCATTCCCCTCGACCGTGGCCCCCACCAAGCCGCCATCGCCCTTGTCGCCACCGTCGTCGGCGCCATCTTCTGTCTCTCGGCTGGCTTCTTCCGCACTGTGTGGATCTTCCCGCCCTACATCGCCGCCATCATTGCTGCCAGCACCATCCCGGCCACCTACCACACCCGCCACCTCGGCCTCATGGTTCGCGGCTTCATCAGCGGGGCCCAATTCTCCATCCGCCGCGCCGCCTCGGGGTGGCTCTCCCTCGCCGCCACGGCCGCCGGTTCCCTTGGCTCCGCCATCATCTCGTCCTTCACCTACCACATGCTAAAAGAAGATGAAGAGCTCATGAGCCTCTGGATCGTCTCCATCTTCAGCGGCCTAAAGTGGATCCTCGGATCCTTACATTTCTTGACCTCAAACCGATCATTCTCCGCTGTCACTCCTCCCATATCAACTCCTTTCCATACATTCTCAATCCTTAGATACCCTCATGCCCTAGGAAGTCTCTTCTCAATCTTCCTCTCTTCACTATCAACCATGTCGATCTTCATCGGAACCGTACTTTTCCTTGTAGGAGAACACTGTTTCAAGCCGACATCTCTTCTCCACTTCTGGCTAACCTACTTCCTCTTCCCTCTAATCTCTCTCCCCCTATTACATCCAATTCAACATCTTCTCAAAGTAAACGCCGTGAAGATGCAAATCCTCGGGTTCGCCATGACCGCAGCGGTTTCAGGACTAGGGTTCACTTTCCGGTCCAAAACTTGGGAGACGCACCAGGTTATAAAGATATATTTTAGGTTTTATTTGTCTCGGGATATGAATACAGTTCAAACATTTTTGTTACGATATTTTTTTTATATTAAAAAAAACCCGCACATTTTATTAGCCATTGGAATTTTGAATTTATATATATCCTACATCTTATTTAGGTTATAATTTTTCCGATTTCAGAAGATTTGATAGATATAAAATCTCATTCAAATGCATATAAAATTCCAGAATACTAATTTGCTCTTTTCAACTATTCTTATTACCAGGTGCTTATTTTCGCGGCGATTCAAGGCACTTCCGTTGGGGTTTTGCAAGCCTTTGGGAGGGTCCTTTTGGTCGACTGTGCGCCGCGCGGGAAAGAAGGGGCGTTCTCGAGCTGGTTCGTGTGGGTTAAGCTGGTCGGGTCGTGCGTCGGGTTTGCTATAGCGTCGGCTGCTCCTGGAAACGTCACCGTTTCCTTTGGGGTGTCGTTTTTCACAGCGATCGGGGCGGTTGTAGTTTTGATCTTCGGGAGTGTCAGCGACTTCGGAGGAGCGGGTCATGCTGGGCACGTGAGAGATGAACATCAGAGTGTGAAGAATGGTGATCGGGAAAGAGGGTCGCCTGTTAATGGGGTGGACAGTCATAGTGGTGTTGAAGTAAAGCAGCCCTTGCAAGTGACGCCATAAGCGAAAGAAGAGAATGAGAATGTGTATGATATGATTCTTCTCTGTCTCTCTCTCTCTTTTTTTTTTTTTTTTTTTTTTTTGAATTAGTTGTCAAATAATTTATTTTCTTTTTTATAAGACTATCAAATAATCATTGTGCATTTTGTAATTGTTATTCTTTGGAGATAATCAATCTCGTCCTCTTACTGCATCTATATGGCAAGCATGTATTGGACATTTGATTATTGTTGCCGTGATCTATTTTGTTTTATTAATTAGTTAAATTTTGCAATACGTTCATGTATGGGTTTTCCCGCAAGGTATTTGTTCAATAGTACAAAATATGTCCATGTTATAGCTTTATTCCCTACGGTGTTTTTCTTTCCTAGAATCTTGATTTTTATTTTTATTTTTTCATTCAAAGATTAAAAACTGTATGTAACTTTATTCTTTAAACGAACAATTAAAACTTTGGTGCCTTAATTTGATTTTTTTAAAAGAAAATATAGGTACGTGATTTCAAATGATTACCCATATTAATTTGTAATAATAACCAAGAAAAAGAGAGAAATTTAGGAGATGAGATGTAAGAGCTTTGTATGGTAGTAGGAATATGAGTGTAGGGATTAAAGGGAATTGATACTAATCATATAGTTATTTGAAAGGGAAAAGATAATCGATTTAGTGAGGATTTAAAATCCACTCAGAGAACGCTAATTTTTCTTTCTCTCAACATGAAAGGATTAGAGATGAAAATCTCATTGCTTATTAAATAAGATTGATCACCATGTCTATATTGTAAATATGCAGTTACAATAATCCATTCAAAGTAATAGGAATTAGACACGATTCTAAATAGAAAAACTTTAATAATTTCAATTTCTTTAAAAGGTGAAAATATGAGAGGTAATATATATCTTTAAATATTATTCGGTATTACTCATGAAACTGAATGACCAAGAATTGAAAATTTGAGAAAATTGACATGGTAAGAGACTATAGAATATATAAACTACCGCAAAAGAATCTTTTTATGAAGTGTTTAGTCAATTAATTTCAAATGAGTCGTATATTATTTAAACATATAAATAGAATTGTTTTCCTTTTATATGTTATATTTTTTTTTCTTATTTTTCTTTTACATTCACGAAATAACCTAAGAGAAAGTGTTATTTGCCAGTTGGTTCATGTGTTTAAACCAGTGTTTATTGATTTTAGCATTTAAAATTTATATTTTTTGAGAAGAAAACACTGTAGCATAATCAAAATGATAGGTTTAAATGCATAAAACAAACGAGCCCTTATAAATTATGTGAGCTTAAAGAGATTGGAGTTTTAGACAACCATTAAAGCTTGTCATCTCACGTGTATATTATGGCATTTTCTCCAAACACGGGTTATTAACATTGTTAATCCTTTAATATTATAACATTTTGACCCCTAAATTTTTAATTTTAGTAGATTACTTTCTTAAACTTTTTTTTTGACGGATTGAGTACCAGATATAAAAATTGATAAAAAGATTTTTAAAGAATTAACATAAATAATTAGATCCACATCACATAATAATTGAAAACTTTACATAAATAGTTACATCTCTTAATGGGTTTTAAGAATAATAAAGAAAACATTTTACACATGGTGTAACTGAACGTTTTGTCAATTTCAATGCAGGCACGAAAATTGCAAAAAAAAAAAAAAAAAAAAAGATTGGGGGTTCATGGAGTAAACTGTCAAAACTGAAAGTTTAAAGGCCATATTGTCACAATGCTCAAACGTCAGGGATGATAGAGCAAATAACGACATTCGACAACATTTTATTTAATTCAGATGGTGATTTTTCATAATTAAAATTTTAGGAAGCAACTTACCAATCCAGTTAAAATTTAGGAGTAAAAAGCGTTAAAATTCTATAAAAAAAAGAGGGCGTACATGTGTTACACGTACCTAATCGGACGCAGAGAAATTCTTATTCAAAATTGAAGGCTGAAATAGTGAAATGAACTTGCGAGTAATGTTGGAACTTTGGGCGGCGGGCCTGTCCGGGTATTTTGAATTTTTTCAGGCTCGGCGGGCATGCCCCATTGTCCGCCCGTCCATATAGTAAAGTCGGGCTCGGGCAGCTAGAAAAATTAAAGTTGGACAAAGCCCGCCGTCCGTTCAACCTCCATGCCCGAAGCCCGACCGAAAGCCTGACCAAGAGCCCGTCCAATGGCTCTTTTTTTTTAACCGTTATGCCCGCCCCGCCCCTTGAGAAGCCTGAGAATAACGGCTCTTTTTTTTACCGTTGTTCGAAATGCCCGACCCGCCGAGGTAAAAATAGCTGTTGGATTCCAAAATTCACACAAAAATTTGATTTTTTACCCCAAAAATTTTCTTATAAATACCCTCATCCCCCAAACATTTCATTCACAAAATTTCTCACATTCTCTCTCAATCTCTCTTTTTTTGAATTGATTTGTGTTAATAGTGTGTGTTAATTTTAATCTTAATCATAGTTTTTATATAATTTTTACAATAAATATCTTAATAATTATTTACATACAAATACAATTAATAAATAATATAATATATATTATAAAATATAAAAAAATTCGGGCAGCTAAGACCTGCCCGAAGCCCGTTCAAGGTTGTCTTTGTGTTCGGGTGGGTAGCTCGAATTTCTCGGGTGAGTGAGCTCGAATAACGAGCATAAATTTAATTTTTTCAAACTGCTGCGGACGTCCCGTCTAAAATTTCAGCACTACTTCCCGGTGCCCGATGAAAAAACTTAGGTAAAAGTGCTTATAATATTAATAAATATGTGTTATTCCTTGGTGGCTAAAAAAAGACGTTGCTAAAATTATTTTTTTGTGTGTTCTCGGTTACCAATTTGACGCAGGGAAAACCTCATTCGGAGGCTGAAGTAAAGAAACGAAGTCGCCAAACACACCCGCAAAACCCATTGAAACCCAAGAAACCAAACCAGAGCTTTCAGCAGAGCAGACGTTAGGTTTTCTGGCTGAAACCATTGACGACGACGACGACGATGCAGAGATTGTGCTCCAAGCTCCGATCTCTGGCGCTGAGTTCAGCGCAGAATCTGCCATCAATCTCTTATTTTCGTCCTCTTCTCCACTCTTCTCAAACGCTTCGCCAGCCTCTCCATTCCGCTTCCCATTCATGGAGCTTCAAGCCCCTTTTCAGCCCCTCTTCTTCATCATTGCATCCCTCTCTAGGTCTCAACTCCATTCGCTCTTCTCCGTGCCCTCTCTCGGTAAGCTTTTGGATTTTCTGTTTGGTTGCCGAGAAAATTGGGGATCCTATACGTATACGAACATTTTGAGTAGTTGTGTATTGAGAGAGAAATAGAAAAACTAGAAAGTGAAGTATTAGTATAGAGAGATGGTCCGAGCAATTTTGATGATTTCTAGAATTTCATTTCCAAATCTATTTGTAGTCATTTGAAAATCTGGATTAGAAGAAAGCCCTGCCATTGAATTTTGATAATGCTGTTACTACGCATCATCTAATTTGTTAATCTGAATTAACTTGACTCAATTTCGTTTGAATCAAATAGTTATATATGTGATTGGGGATTTTTCAAATTGGTGTTGAATTTTTAAGTTCTGCTTATATGCTTACTTGTTCTGTTTTCAAGAGAATGTATGTGTTTCATGTATGTTAAGCTGGTTCAAGTGCGGCATGTTTCATCGAGGGATAGACGGAAGAAGAGGAAACCTTTGACACCAGTCACCTCCAAGGTCAAGAAAACCAAAATGAAATCATACGCGTATGTTTCATGCTTCTAGTTATGATTTTATCCCTGTTCTTTTGGTGAAATGAGAAATAATTCCTAAGGATTTGTTAAGACTTGTGTTTCAGGTCTTACAAGTCCCGGTTTAGGACAATGAACGATGGGAACATCCGGCGCTGGAAGGAGGGAAAACGTCACAATGCGCATTTGAAGGTACCCATTTTGTTTTAGTGTTAACTCTGGTTCATAAAATACAAAAAAAAAAAAAAGGGGACATTAGGTATGAGAGGAAATAGTGGTTAGGTGCTTGGTATAGTGAAAGCTTGGGTTTTGAATGATCTGTCAAAATTCTTCAGATTAAGTGAATGGCAACTACGTTAAAGTTACAGTCTTTAGTTCCCATTTTTCGTACTTTGTTGGTGTTAGGAATTAAACCAGCAAATACTACGAGCAGTAAACTTGGTTTGACCGTTCTTCGCTCCATATTTTTTGACTTGTGCCTTCATACCTAAAACCATGCTTTTGTCTCTTAAGCCCTCTACATTGATTGTGGAAAGGTGTTATTTGTGGATTTTGTTTTCCTGTAGTGTTTGTTTCATTTTGGCTTCTTTTTTATTCTTTTCTTTTTTCAATCCTTTTCTATGTATATTTCAATATACCCTTTTTCTATGTATATTTCAATATACAAGACATTGGTTCTTTCAGTTAATTTGTTTCAGCTCTGTTGTTTAATCACTACTGAAATCAAATCAAATCATCTCTGAGTGGACAATTGTATTTGTGTCTTTGTTTTCGGGTTTATATTGGAAATAAACTAGTGGACAAAAATTTTAGTAGTAAAAATAAATTCCTTTTTACAAACAAATAACACATATCAATAGGAATCTGGTGTGTGTGTCTGTGTGGACCGTGTCTTTTTGGACTTTTCCCCTGTCCAGTGGATGATTATTTAGCAATGAAAACACGTATGATACATTCACGTAAAGTGACAATGACTTGAAAAATTAGGCTCATAGAGTTATTGTCGCTAGTCCTCTTCTTTGTTTCTGTATGTCTTCAGGTCTTATAAGGTTTCTAAGAAATTTATATTACTAACGACTAAGGCATCACACGATTTTAAGATGCAATTTTGTTTTGAATGCAGTCAAAGAAATCAAAACGTAGGCTTAGGCTTCCTGCAATTGTCCCAATAGCTTACGCCAAAGTAATGAAGAAACTCAACTTTTCCAGTTAAAAGAGAAGAAAAACTGAAGTCCTCTGCTGGTATTGCTAACCTCTGGAACGACAAGGGGATCTTTTGGCTAACACCTCATGGATTTGTACTCTCCATTTATATTGTTTACATTAGAGGCCCAGAATAAGCGGTTTTTAGAGGGTTTTGTTTTTTGGTTGCTTAGTGAAAGTGATAAACTTGACTGAATGAACAGGTAGCAAATAGCTTCCAAAGTGTTCCGTCGAGCTTTCTTTGTTACTTGGTTGTTCACACTAACAGAGATAACATTGCTGTTGGGGGCTGCTTTCTACAGGTAAGGATGTTTAACTTTAACTAGTGCCTATTACACCACAGCTTTTGATGATTACTAGTGAGCAAATCAATAAACAAAAGAACCAATAAAGAAAGTGATATCAAAGAATGCCCACAAAATCATGTCAATTAAGACTTACGTACTGGTATATCCTTTAGTGAAGAGTGCTTATACGCAAAGTATATGTAAAAGATGTGCCCATGTAGTTCAAACCTCATTAGGGTTTTAGGTCGTTTCCTTTCTTTTTAAGCTTGGGCTATGAGACTTTAGTAGTTGGAGTAGCTTTTTGTAGATTTGGACAAGAGAAGTCAGGACTGTAACTCACTTATTTAGTTTTGAGCCATCCTTTTAGAACTCCCATCTCCTTTAGCTAATATCAAATCAAGAGAAAATGGCTGAACATACCGTTAAAAGTGTATGGGTTTGGATTTTGATCCTTTATTCTTGATTGGTACTCTTTTGTTAATATAGTTATTTGACTAAAAAGGATATTAATCAAAGAGTAATGGGTAAAAATTAAGGCTCGTGCACTTCTAAAAGTATTTGTTAAGTATTTGTGGTTATGAAGATCGTAGTAAGGATCTCAGACTTAAACTTTCTAATGTGCATGATCCTCTATTAGAGGCAAGCACAGAGCATACTAGTTAGGAGGAGAACGATTATGATATGAAGAAGGAAACTCAGAATTTCAGAGAGGAAGAACAAGAGTTTAGAAACTTATGATATTATTTCTGAGCAAATTTTTTTTACAAAGTTCTCTGGTTCGAAGACTTCTGCCTCTACAAGAGAAATGACTCGCCTTATATAGTTGAGGCTGGGCTTACAAGATTTCAATCTTATCTGACAGGATAAGATTCACACTATTTAACCTTTGACTTATGTTACAAAAGATAAAAACTACTTTTGACAAAGTGGTCGGCACACTATTCCACTTTTGACTTATTTTACAAAAAAAACTACTTTTGACAAAGTGAAAGTCACACTTTTTCACAAAAGACAAACAAACTTTATACATGATTAGATTTTAAGTTTCGTGCAAAAGGATGACAGCTGGAGAGAACTTATTTTCAACTAGGAGACAAGTTGTAGGGGGAGCTGTAATCTGATGAGTCAGAGTTCATTGAGCCATGCTAATGATAATACCACGGTCGCTGTCGTTTGTTGGGTGATAAGTCATAATCTGGGTCCTGAGAATCTTGGAATAATGCCGGGTCATATTCCTCTGGATTTTGTGAGTCCTGAAGCAATGGTGGTGCCGGGGTGAAGGCTGATGCATTTTTAAAATATCGACTGCTACTTACAGTGAAGATGTTGTATGGACCATAGATCTCGGTGGGTGGTGTTATTGCAGAGCTAATACATGGTTGTAAAGCAGGCTTTGACTAGTGTTCATTTTCTCTGCACAGAACCTTAATAAGGTGATCTGTGATGTCTTCAAGTGACTTGGGATATATACCAGGTGTATACAACATGTTGTGTGTATAGCCCCCGTGTTTCTGAGTTGAGCAGGTATGGACGATGTAGAAAGAAGATGGTGTGCACTGGTGGGACTTTTGCTGAAGAGAAAGTCCAGACCCTGTATCGCTGGAGGAGTCTTGAAACTTCCTTTCTCCACCACATGAGTAGATTGAACATTTCCAGCAGCTGCTACAGAGTTGATCCTCCATTGTTGAGGTCATTGAGATGTGTGTGAAGATGCATGAGTGGACAATTTAGGGCAATTTTGTAAAGAGTTGTTTGGCATCACAGGTGCCAAATGTCATCTTCAGTAATTTCGTTAAAAGGATGAAGGTGGTAAAGGGCAATGTATGATTGTTCTGTATTGTACAGGAACTTGGCATGGGGGTTCTTGGTTCTATTGCAAATATTGGTTAGGTGATAGAAGAGGTGGGTTTTGGCATAGTACTGAACTTGGTCAGGTGTGGCTGAACTATCTAAACCAGGAGAAAAACGATGGTTTGATTTCATAGGAAAACACAGTGGTGTGTGGATATTGGTAGCCATGATGATGAGAGGAAAAGTTTTACAAGGGGTGATGACTTGGATTGGTTTTGGTCGAGTTAGCAAATCATGGATGAGGTTATGATGGCCTTTTATATGTTTGACAGAAAAGTCATATTTTGCAAACTAATCTTTAAGTCTGAGTAATTGCGGATCAAGAATGATTTTATTTTTAAAATCAATGACCTTAGAAAAAGATGAATTATCCATTTTTGAAAGGATGTCAAAATTGTATCCTCTGAGATGGAAATCAAAATTTTGAATTCTATACTTTACTGCAAGAATCTCCTTGTAAATAGTGTGATAATGTTTTTCTGATTCTTTGAACTGGCCACTGCATATCCACAGTAGTGCTTCTTGTCTTTATCTTCTTCTATGAGAATGACCCCCCAATAATGGTCACTTGCATCTGTCTGTAAGATTCTTTTTCATGTTCCTGGAATCTTCAGAGGTGGAGGTGACTGGGCCACTTTCTTTAAAGCGATGACAGCGACTGTCTGTTCTGTCCCCCACTGAGAATGATTCTTTTTCAGCATCTTTGACAACTGGCTAGTGTGTTTAGTCACGCGTAGAATAAAATCTCTGAGATAATTAACTATTCTCAAGAACTGTTGAATTTGCTTTGTAGTGAGGTTCTTATCAGGAAACGTCAATAATTCTCGAGCTATGTGTGGGTCAGGTTAAAACTTTCCTTGAGATATTTGCATCCCTAAGAATTCAACTTGAGTTTGTCCTATCTGACTTTTTTTTTTCTGAGAGCATGATGTCATGCTGATCCACAATCTGGTGGAATTGGTCCAGTAAGATTTTGTGGGCTTCTGTTTCTTTTGAAAACAATAGGATGTCATCTATGTAGATCAATGCACTGTATAGAATGAGCTCAAAGATTTGAGCCATTGTTCGCTAGAACAGTGATGAGGCCGTTTTGAGTCCAAATGGCAAGATACGCCATTGGTATTGTGCATCTAGAATACATAATGTTGTTTTGGGCCTGTCTTTTGGATCAATCCCTAATTGCCAGAATGCTCCTTTGAGGTCAAACTTTGAGAAGACCTAGGCTCCCTTGAGATGAGTGAATAAGGAGCTGGTTCTTGGAATAGAGAACTTATCATCTTTTAGGAACAGTTTCAAAGGTTTGTAATCAATAATTAGCATTTTCTTTCCACAGACCTGTACTGATCTCTTTTTTACATAGAATGCCCGGCAAGCCCAATCTGACTTCGTGGGCTCAATCAATCTTTGTTTGAGAAGTTGTGCACATTTTTCTCGAGCCAAGGCTAAGTCTGATGGAGACATCCCTAGATGAGTAGTTTTAGTTGGATTGATGTCTTTGTTCTTCTTGAAGGGCAACTGTATAAAGAATTTCTGATTCTTCCACAAATGATTGGGATGCTAGAACTGATCGTGGCTGTCAACACAGCACTTCAGAAGCGTGTTCTTGATTTCTTCATAACCAGTTAGAGCTTCTTTGATTAAAAACATCTTAGGAATGGTTGAATAAGACTTGAATTGCCTTTTATACTTCAATCATGTAGGAATGATTTGAAGACTCTTTGTTTGGCAGTATACATCCATTCCAACGAGAAGATCTTTGTCTAGTAGTGAGCTTTCAAGAATTCTTGTCCATATGATACATCAAAGGAAGAACTTGATACTAATTTTGGATTTGGTAATCAGTTCTGTTTTGAATACTTAATCATCTGCAGCCTTGAAATATTCAATGTATGGTATCTAAAAATCACGTGGGAGGACTTTCGGATTCATCATTGTTTTTCCTGCACCAATATCCATGTAGGCAACCAAGTTTACTGGATTATTATACTTTGGTAGATGAGGGTTGGAACAGTTATAGAGCATTGCTCCACGTTGTAGACTAGAATGTGGTAGTCTACTTTTTCCCCTTATGTTTCTTCAAAGCTAAAATCATCTTGGTCTGATTCTAGAATAGAGAAGACTGTTTCCATATCTGGATCTTCATGTTCAGAGAACAGAGATTCCACGATTTACTAAGTTGGCTTGTAGTTGTTGGATGATTCTGGCTGACTTGACAGATTTCTTAAAACAGTTCTTTGAATAGTGTCCCCTTTCTCCGCAGCTGAAACAACGGTCTGACTTTAGACTGTCACGTTTTTCCCTCTGAAGAATCAGAATTTCCTTCCTTCTTTCTTGTTGAACTTTTTGGGTCTGCGAGTCCGTCTTGAAGAATTATTATGGGAATGCTTTGGAGGACCACAGGAGCACTTACTATCTTTGCATTTGATATGTAGGTAGGTCTTCCTGCATGATTTATTGAATTTAGATCTTTTCTTCATCATGGAAGAGAATAGTTTGTCTCACAGAGTTTGTTGAGAGCCGCCAATGCTAGTTGGTGAATTTCTCCGATAGAGGCATCCTCCAATTCTCTCTTTGTGGCAAGGAGAGATCTTATAAGTTTTGGCTGTAACTCCTGGGGAAGTGAAAACCGGTATACTTGACGAAGATTTAAATCATTGAATCCACTGAGCAAGTATTATCGTCGAGACATTCTTTGATAATGAAACTCAATATCTTTTCTTTTTAAAGAGCAACACTTCATTTCAAAGTACTCCTGGCACATTTACTTTTCAATCAGATTGTAATCCCCAATGAACTCTTAGTATATGAGTCCAAGAATTCCTGCT